TTTGTGTGTGTGTGTGTGTGTGTGTGTGTGTGTGTGTGTGTGTGTGTGTGTGTGTGTGTGTGTGTGTGTGTGTGTGTGTGTGTGTGTGTGTGTGTGTGTGTGTGTGAACATTATATATGTGTTATGGGTATGTGTTTGATTTCCTTTGATTTCTTTCGACTTCTGTGTGTGTGTTTGTACTTTTTTTATTGAGCGTTGCCAGTCACCTTTGTGTAATCTCCTCTACCATAAAGAGGCCATGACCACCCAGCAGCATATTCTCCTCTGGGGGTGAATGCCACAAACAGTATGACAGACTGTTTGAGGTGTTTATTTTAAGTTTTCTCATGAAGATGATTAAAATCAGTTTCAAACCGGATGATGATGCTTAATAAAATTCATTAAAAACCGTGCTTAGCATCCTGTTAATCACTAAAGATGTGTTTGCCCCACCTGATTGCCACAGAATTAATAATATGTTTTAGTTTTTAATTATAATTTGCTTTATCAAGTTGTCGTCCAGTCAAAAATGCAAACGCTTCAGGCAGCTAAAGGATTGTTCCCCTTCTTTGAGAGTGTAAAATGTTGCCTCTTTTTTGGACTCAATTCAGTGATAAAACATATCAAAAGACAAGAAAAACATGTTAGGTCCTTGTTCTAAGATTGTGTAAACTTCAAAAATATTTACAGTGTCTGATCTTTTTTTCCCTTTTTACCATCAGGTCAATAATAGTGACTATTTTTCACACCCACTCAGCTGTGTACATGGTACCTACCTGGACAGCTTCAGACAGTTGACTGAGTCTGGCCTCAGCAAAGGCCCGTTGTTCTGCATTTCAAACACACTGCAGTTGTTGGCCATATATTGCCAGTCCAACCAGAGCTGTTCTGTGGCAATGCCACTCTCAAGTTCTGCAATGTCAAGCCTCCGTCTTTGGATCAGAATGGACTCAGGCAGGAGCCCGCCAAACTGAACTATAACATAGAATATCTGGAGGAAAGGGGAATACAAGTTAGCATGAATAGAACCAGATGTGCAATGTACTGCAATCCAGAACCACATAAATGCAATGAATTATTCTATTGTTGTGTTGAGGCTTTGCTCACACTGTCAGACATATTTATTCACCTCTATAGTAAAAGGGGCATTTGTTTTGCATCAAATTATTTTGTTTAATTTCGTAAGGGTATTGAAAAACAAGAAAACAAATTGGTCAATTACTGTTCATCGCATCAAATCACATTTTATGAAGATCTTGTGCAGTCTTAGTCTCTTTCAAATGGTAAAATGTGAGTGCTAGTAGTTTCCTATAGCACATGAACTGTGTGTGTGTGTAGGTGTGTGTATGTGTGTTAAGTGTTATCTGCCCCTCTACAGTGTGGGCTGGGACACTGGGTTACACAGCAGGGAGCGCATTAAGCCACCAGCACTGCGCAATCCCAAACACACACCAACACACACACACACAACCGGAACTTCAGAAAGTGTCTTTTATCTGGGGACTTGAGTTGAGCTACCGCGTCAGGACAGCTCCCAAAAATCCTGCTCACTCACATACACACTTCAGAGAAAAGAGGGACGAGCCTTTTGACAGCCCCAGTGTCGTCAACGCCCAAATCCAGCAATATCTCTCTCTCCCTCCCTCCCTCTGCCCCCCGTCTGTCTCTCACTGCAGTGCTTAGAGCAAGGATGAAACTACTGTCCACCACAGGTGCAAGCAGAAAGATACTACAGCGTTTGTGTTATAGCATTTCAACTCCACAACGATGGAATTTAGTTGCCTGTCCAACCCACAGTAGCTAGCATTGAAGTCAGGGGGCTGATAAAAGTATTGAAAAGACACAATGATCCAAATAACCCTAAATCTGAGGGGGGCCAACACTTGTTATCCCACATTGCCTCACCACTGGGACCACGATCCCATGTGGATCTCATGCTCAGCATTGGAATAAAAAGGATTGGATTAACAATCTTTGGGATACTCTAACCTCATTGCACACTTTGACGCCCACTTCAAGCCCTCTTAATTGTATGTTTTGTAATAATGCTTTAATAAAGACAATATAAATACAGCACTATGCATGCTTCTCCATTTGAATATTGATAGTTAATATTGCAATGAGCACTTTAGAAATCAATTCTGTTTTACATGGTATATGAATTACAAGACTCCTTTATTTGTTAGTTATAATGTACGAGGTAAAAAATGCAAACCGGCATGAATGGCCGCTAAAGAACAACTTGGGATTTTCTAACAGTCTGTGTGGGGGCCAATGGTGTCAAATTATAATAATGGTGTGTTTAAACTCTGTAAGTGTGATTCAAACATATGTCAACAGAATATGTTGTCTATTGTAAGGATCGAACCCAAGGCCTGACAGATACAGGCTGGTATCTTTACTTGTCCATTTTACTGGCTGAAGTCAATTTTCGGATAACAATACCGACATCCACACAGCATCATTGAATGATTAATTGATTTAATGACAAATTCAATTAACACACTTTCAGACTGAACTCAAAGTTCATATATTATATTTGTTACTTGCACTTGACACCAATCTATCTGTCTGTCATTGTTGAGAGATAATATATACATTTGCTCAGTTGTGTGAGTGTATTTTTTAGATGCGTTACCTGGTATTGTCCGTTCACCAAATCCACGGTAATAGTGAGTCCTTCATCCAGTTCCTGCGTAGTCATGATCTTAGAGAGCCATGTGGTGCCCATGTCCTGATCATTGATGTAACTGAGTGGATGGGCATTTAGGTTGAGTCTTAGGACTCTGTCATTGGTGGTGTCCTCAACACCATTGGGAATGCAGTATCTGTTAACAGTGACAATGTTTTTTTACAGGGTACTTTTTTTTTTTCTTTTGCAATTTCTGAACCCTCAAGAGTGAAACTTCAGAAACATGAGAAAAGCATTTGTACATTAGTGAAATGTTTAAAAATACAGTCATGTTATATTAACACAATAAGTGTTGATACTTTACCTCTCAACTAAAGGGTGCACTCTGGAGTGACTGGGTGGACAGCGACACTCTGCCTGGGCATGGAGCTCAGGCAGGAAACCGGAGTAAACCTCAACTATTTCCCTGTAAAAACAAGAAACATCCGACTAAGTAACTCTAATGCTAAACACTGAGGAGAGATATTATCCTACTCATTATAATCTCAGATGAGGGAGGGGCCAAATTGCTTACATTGCTTAATGACTGAGCAGTTTTTACTATTTTGCTGGCTATCTTTTAAATCTGAAACACCAAAGGAAAAAAAATATGATTTCCGAAATGCAGGGTATTTACACTTAATACTATCTGACATGTTCAGTGATGATTATGATGAACAAAAATGACAGTGACCAAACAGGGTTTGTAATAACTTAAATGTTGACGGGTCTTTTACTGGACATTTAGAGTAAAGTGGAACATCAAAGGCATCATTTGAAAACTCAATCTTTCATTTGTCTGGTCCCAATCTTGATGAGAGGAACTTGTAAGATCCAAGTCCTCACTGTGTGCAGTACATCACTGGTAAGCAAAACACTAATTGCCTCGTATTGAATTCTCAGGAAAATCCTCTGGAAGCAGTATGGATCTTAAGATGCAACGATTAGCCTTCCCCTTCTTTGCTCGGACCATCTTTCCCTTTATCGCTCCATATGGCTTCTCTTCTCTTGTTTCTTTAATCTTTAAAGTATCTCTGTCTATATCTTCTCATTTCTATTCCTTTCCTTTATTCAGTCCATCTATAGCTACCACTTCACCTCCTTATTTCTATGACAATCACGATTATTTTCCTTCCTTTATAACCTTTGCTTTCACAATATTCATTTCATTTGGTCCTTCTTGGATCCCTGCCTCTTTGTATCCCCCAGAGCTGCTCATTACCTGTCTCTGTGCCTTACTTTATCCAACTCACCTGTTGGTCAGAGTGGCAGGATACAATCTAAAGTCTTGCATCCGGCCAATGAACTGATTAGACCCTGGAGAGATGAAAAGAGAGGAGAAAGGAACATAAAGAAGGTGTTAATGGGTTTGTACTGAATGCAGTGAGTGAGAGGATTTCACAGTGTTTAGTAGATTATCTTATCAGTTTCTTAATAGCAGCTAAGCGAGGCTTCCCCGGCTGCTAATAATGGACAAGTTCATGACAGAAAAACCAAACAGGATCAGCCACAGTCTATTTTTGCTTCCAAAGCAGAAGGGCCTTTAAGGATAAATGCATGTTCTGGACATAATGTAACCTATATTCCTAAATCTACAAGAAGATATTAGGCTGCAAATAAAACAGTTTCCAACCCAAAACTCCCTTTTGCAAAAAATATATTTTGTCCAAAAAACTGTTCTAACAACAAGATATTCAGAACAAACTACTTTAGGGCATTTTTCTTGACAAATCTAAACTGTTACAGGTGTCTACAGTACTAATAATTGTTTAAGTCTAATGGGTTTACAACAGGTTACATTATAACAGGAGAAGAAAACTGTGAAAGCTGTCGTTGAAACGTTGAAAAGAAAGGATCTGCAAAGAGGTAAATGTTAGACAAGAAATGCCATATATATAAAATATGCCAAGATACCAAAGTCTGAAGCAAAGTATACACTGGAATATCTCACACATATAAGTTCAATGTCCAGACACACATGTGGATATTGGACAGAACACAGGAAACACCATCAAACACATAACAGAACAAAGGCTAGCCCCCATCTCCATACACAAGCACACATTCATGACAATGTTGGACAGGACACAAGAGACCCACACTGACGGTGGTGCTGATCCAACGAGAGCCGGGGTCCTAAAGCGTCCAACAAACTTCTGTCTAGTTTGACAACAACTCTTAGAAGACGGATAATGTCTCTGGGCATCGACAGAACCCCTGCCATGTCTAGCTTTGTCTGTGAAAGCATGTGTGTGTGTGTGTGTGTGTGTGTGTTAGAGGCTTTACTGTGTGTATTCCCCCCCAAAAAGGAAACATCCTTACTTTAGAGAGTGTATGAGTGTTTGTGCATTTGTGTGTGTATTTGCATTTGAGAGAGGCTTTGCCATGTTTGGCTTAACTACAATGTGAGCATGTGTGAGTGTTGGAGGGGTGTATGTGAGTGTAAAACAGAGAGAAAGTGTTATGGGATGTAAGTGTGTTCGAACAGTCTGTGGTTGTGCAGCCTTAGGCTTTGGCTCAGGATTTCTTTGACGTGTGGAAATGGGATTATGTCTTCCTGTGAAAAGCACTCTCCCTATTGTTACTGGGATGATGCAAGGTATAAGCTTTAATTCTCTCCTCTCTGTGGAGGTATCTGTCTTCTCTCTCTGTGTTTCAGTTCCTGTCATCCCTCTGTTTTTCAGTTTCCTCTTCTCTCTTTCTGTTGTTAGAACTGATGGCAGTTAATACAGGCAACTAGGATTTGAGTTGGAGATTTATCTAGTTTTTTTTTCTCTCCGTCCTTGAATGCTACCGTTACTCTCTGTAACAGCAAAAGCAAATGGTTAGACAAGTCAGAAATGGTTAATGCTAAATGAACTGCGATAATATGCTCTTTCTTCCAAGGCACTTTACAATGCAATGGCAACAATGGAGCAACTAGTGAATAATTGTACAGCGTAACAATACAAACTCCCATTGTCTCCTATTTTAAATGAGATTAAATAACACACAGTACTGCTTGATTACATGCTGCATTGTTTCCAGTGAATGTATTGCGTGTGGATATAGAAGAACAGTTTAAATTGGCATATAAATAATCCAGAATATAGCGGGGAACACATTGAAGATAAATAGTATCAACAATGTTTGTATCAATATGTATATTTCTTTGTGTAATTTCATGAACATCTAAAAGATGATAACTTTAAGGGGCTTTATTATGATGTAACATTTTTACCATCCAAACTGAGGCATGATTGGAGCAATCTCAACATCATACATCTAATTTTGAGATTTCTAATGAGTCGACTCATATTTTGTTTTAATTCTTTGATACAACTGATGATGCTATCGTTATTGACCACTTCAAAAATGTATAGTCGTGTTCTTATCAGATACTCAGTTTTCAGTTAAAAGGGTCCCCCCCTCCAACAGCAGACATAGTTGTTCATCAATACACCTGATCAGCATTTGTATAATCAATCCACTGATCAGAATTCCAGACACAGACCCTAGGTTCAACACACACACACACACGCACTCCCTCGAGCCAATCACTTGCATTGATCACAACCACTGATGTGATCTTCAGCTGATCAGATGCTACCTGCCTTGAACTAGGGATCAATGCCTGATAAACGAGAAGAAAAACACTCGTTTATCACTCAGGAGATGAACGGATATCATTTTTCTCTCAATTTCTCTCCTATTGACTCTGAGACGGCTCCCAGGCACCACCAATCAATCACAGATGTGTAGTTGAAGGAGGATAAAGGCTGGGAGGAGAATAAAGGTGGAGTAGTCATTGACACCATATTTAGATATACAGACAAGATAAACAAAGAGGTAATTTTTCTCCACTTGGAGAAAGACAGCGGCCCCATTGAAGGAGGGATGTAGATGGGACTGATTTCAAGTCAGAAAAACAGATGTTGTCCATTGCAATATGAGTTTTATGCTGCAGTTTAAACCTTTTTGAACATTGACAACATATTTTTTTATATCATTCCTGGGCTGGCAGTTCCTGGAATTGACCCACATTTTTTAATTAAATTGATTTAAATACACAACTAAATAATTGTTGACAGTGAGGAATCTGGATCTAATGCTTCTCTAAAACAGAAAAATCAGCTAGCTTTACCGTTGGAGCTGAGTCCCACCCACATGGCACCGTCCTCGCTGATATCAGAGAGCCTGCCGCTCAGAGACTGTGTGTCAAACGGGGTCCCATCCTCCTCAAGCCCATCTAGGAATAGACTCACATGTCTGTTATGAACCTGAAAATCATTCAGAGTGGGACAAATGTAAAAGAAAATTAAAAGGTGTCATTAAACGGTGAATGCCAAACTACCTCAACAAATCTCAATGAATCACAACAAACAATAAATCATTTTGTCTCCAATTTCCGAAAAGCGAGCTCATTTGATTAAACAGAAAACGGTATTGCAGTCGTGCAATAGAGCGTGATGATTCTTCTGAAAAAGCGCTTTGATGTTGTCTGTATTCTAGGTTTCAGAGGGAGAAAGTAAAAAGATGATCAATTAATAAGTGATATTAACATAAAGCATCATTGAATACCATTAGTCATTGTTTTTTGAGCACTGCCGTGGAACCTAAAAGCATGTAAGTGAGCTGCCTGAGGGGCAGATGCAGCAGAAAGGCCCAGCAGCAAGTGACTGCTGTAACACACTGCTGCTCTGAGTGTGCAGATGCGCATCTATCTACAAAAGTATATGCACAGACCAATGGTGTGTTTTTGGATATCCATGCATGTGTGTGTGTGTGTGTGACCATGTGTGTGTGAATTATACATACAGCTAATCTTCCAGCTCATTTCCCCAGTAGCAGAAAGAGCCTCAGGCTAAACTGCCTCAGCCGCAAATTAGCTTTCTGTTTGACCAAAAATCTCCTCTACACTCCTTTCCTCTCCATTCCCGATCTGCTGCATGAATATTAAAAACTGCACGGCAGACAACATCGTCAAAGTGGGAGCAGCTACCTTTCACATCAAACCCAGGGAAAAAGAAAGATACCACCATAAGAGGGGCTCCCCCCCCCCAAAAAAACAACTTGAATGTGCCCTGTGCTACTCTCTCCGTTCAGCCCATCTGCAAATCCTGTGTTTGGGAGACACACTGTGGGACCACTGATAAACGAGACTCTCCCTGTCTTACCAGAGTCTCCCTCTCCTTCTTCATCTTCCTGGTCTCTCTTCTGCTCTGGTCCTCCTTGCTTTGTCCTTACTCTTCCACACGAGGTCATTTCATTCCTTTCCATTTTTTCAGTTTTACGAATTCTCTTGCTTATTTTTTATAACCACCTTTATTTTCTCCTCCCTCTCAGTTGACGACGGCCCCCTCTCATCTCCCTTCCTGTCTCTTCCCCTCATGTTTATCTTGCCCTGTCGCTCTCACTTGTTGTCAGCTCTTTAGGGAAGTTGAAAAGGTGTGAGGAGGGAAATAAGTCCAAGTCAAAAAACGCCTTTAGGGGATAAAGGCAGGCCCAGACAAGTGTCTGCCTCTTAGAGGATAGTTAAGACGCCCAGACAGACACTTTCATGATGGCTGATTGAAGACTAGCAAGCGCATAAGAGCAGAAGAGAGAATGAGAGTGAAAAAAAAGAAAGAGACAGGAGGGAGAAGAAGAAAAGTCAGGCAGCGGGTGTAAGAGAGGGAGCTAGAAGAAGGGCCCTCTTTAGGAATCTCTAAGCCGGAGCTGTGTGGCTCTTGGGGAGATGTGAGGCAGTTGTCAGGCCTGATGTAAATGAATCCTGAAGCGCTTCATCCTCCTTAGCCGCCACGCGCCCTTTTGAAACGCAGCCAACTCCCCTTTGTTAGCTTTCACAAACACTTTCCCTCTGTTTTCCCTTTGCCCGTCCATCTGTATTTTTACCTCCTCCTTCCCTCTACCTCTCTTTGTCTCTTTTAGCCAGTGTAACTTCTGAGTTCTTTGAGATTGGGAGGAAAAAAGGAAAAGGAGTTAGGAATTCTTTAGTGTTAACTAGTCTCATTTGGACTGTGTCCACTAAGTCCAGAGGAAAGGAAAAGACTACTTTAAACGTTACCTATCGCCTTCCTTTAATACCGAGGATATGATTTTGTGAGGACTTTTAACTTAAGCCTTTTTTTCATAGTAACATTACTGCGTGTATTATCTTTAAGATATACTTAACTATAATAGAGATGGCACAATTTTTACAATTGAATTTTGGGAATCACCATTATACAGTGAATAGTAGTGTATGGTATATTTAAAGTATAATGGTGGGCTAGTTTAACATCACTTTATCGACATGTTATTCTACATGCCTAATCATTATCGGTTAATGTCCAGACGTCACCCATATCACCAAAGCTGAAGAAAACGATGATATGTCAATTTCCGTATCATGCTACAGGACATTCATTTGATACAAACATGTTCCATTTTGCATTAATATGAAGAACATGTGTTTCTGCTGTTTTGCTTTCCTTTGAAATGAACTAAAACTTTATGTTTTAGGATAATAGCTGCGAATAGGGAGCGATCATTTCAGCAGGGTTTAATCCTGGGCCATCGGGTATATTGACTCTAACCCCTGCACCACCTGGGGTCTCTGCCACCATGCATGGCTCCATTCGCACCTGGCCTGGCTGCACGATGTTGTCTCCTATAACATTACTGCAAAAAACAGGAACTAAGTACATCAACACATTACTTTTGATCATATTATTTGTCATTTTAGCTACAGTTATTTTGTGACATATGCAATTCTGTAGAAAAGTGGTCACTCTTGAATTGACCATGTACTGCATCATCACCTAAAGAAAGAACTAAAGGTGTTTTACCCGACTATTGAAAAATGTAATATAATATGTAAACTTATTTTTTTGTTTCCTTCTACCGAGTAAAGTTACATTATTAACCTTTCCTTATTAAACAATTTCCTTCAAAAGGCTCCTGTGCTCTCGGGAGTTTCAAGCACCCAATCCTGTGCACCACCCACCCCACTGGCACTGTTACCACCTAAGCCACTCTAAAAGCCCAGGGAAACCCTGAGTGGAAAGCTTTTAGTGATCTGTAGACTGGCATTTTGACTAAAGCTCTTCTCCATTTTCACACTCGTGCCAAGCCATGGCTCAGCACACAGTGTGGACAGCAGTGTTTCTTCTAAGCTCACTTTGTAGCTGTGGGACACAAAAAAGCAAGAGGTGGGAAAGAAGATATTAACCAAATTAGCCCAAGTTGTCTTTGCCAGTCATACAAAGATATGCAATCAATAAAAGATTACAAAATATAACTGTAAATAACTTTTACTTATGTAACCACCATGGAACAAACATGCAACTGTCTGCATCATGCTGATTCAAATGTGTTGTAAAAGTTAAAAGTAAAAGTCATTTTTGAAATATTGTTTACATTACGGGCTAAAATTCTGAATTTTGTATGACTGAGAGATTATTTAGCAATGGTAAAATGTGGGATCATGGTTTGTAAATAAGCAGATTTCTAACAACTAACTTCCCCAGTTGGTAAGGAGAGGAATTAGGCGTCTATGGGCCGCAGCGACACTTCCTTATGACCCAGGTCCTTTTTTGTGAACTTGATCAAATAGCTCAGTCCACACAATAATTACAGGGAATATTTGTAGGTCAATACAAATGCATGAGGTGTATTTAAAATCTGTATTAACTATCAATAATTGTATTAATGATTATGTGTCTTTGTTATGTCTCATTTTATAGCTTTCATGACATGACATAAGATGGTTCTTGAAGTAAAACTAACTGTCTTATTCTATTTGGAGACCAGACTAAAGCTTTTCAATTCATCATGGTCCAGGACAGGTTAACACACATACATTCCTCTGAATGATTCTCATTATTCTAAACAGCCAGGAGTTATCCAGACATCGGACATGTTGCCATCAGTGTCAGACATTACAGTCACATTTCACTTAAATGTAGAGAAGAGCTATCACAGCTGCGAGTGACAGTTTGAGGTCAGGGTAGATGAGAGGGGCCTTAAGGAGGACTAATACCGGAAACCAATTCTAGATACACATTTTCTGCTGTCTGATTTGTTTATTAAGTACTAAAGCAATGCAAGGCCCTCTGAAGGAGCTTAATGTTCTCGATGTGTTTGAGTGTGTGTGTGTGTGGATGCAACACACCGCCTGTGTCTGACCTTTCTCACAGAGGATACTATTTCCCCATGTTGCACACAGTTCACATCTACCAAGTTCACCTTTTTCTGATCAGCCCCTCTGCTCTACTTTAGTAATTGTACTTTTACTGACACGATGAAACACATTTAAACAAATTACATCTCGGTCTTACAGCATACTGGCAATTCTCTCTATTTCTTTAACGGGGAACATGCACTCAACAAACAAATAAACAAAGAAATTGTTGACAAAGTAGAACGGGCCGCAAATATGTTAATTCAAACTTGTGGCAGGACAGCTTCTTTTGTTTTAAACTTAATGTGTGCCTTTGGGTTCACATATTGTGGCTTCTGAGATACACTTGGGATTTTTGTCTATGTACTTTACTTGACATTATCTTTCGTCAATCTGATTCACCCTAATCTTAAAACTAAGATGCCCAGTTTCTGTTCTCCTACTTCCCGACTCTTTAAAGCTTCCACACATTTCCACCCTTGTGTCTTGAACTCTGTTGAGCCATCTTTTTTTCTTTTTTGGTTAGGCATTCCCCTCTCATGTTGCTGTACTCATGCTTGTCTGCTCTTCCTCACCTATCTCTTCCTCTCCTTTTAACCTCCTCTAATCCCTGATTCCCCTCCTCTGCCCCACAGCATCCCGCCTCACCAAGCTCCCTCCACACAGCCGCTCTCCTCCTGATGTGTTGCCCTGTGACTGACATGCCACTCACTGATAACACACCTCATCCCACAGACAGTGAAGCTGTCATT